GGGTGAAAAATTCTCCAGAGAAATAGATATCATAAAGAAAAAATCATCACAACTTCTAGAAATGAAAGCCATTAGAGAAACACAAAATGCACTGGAAAGTTTCAACAATAGACTAGAACAAGCGGAAGAAAAAACTTCAGAGCTCAAAGACAAGGCTTTCAAATTAACCCAACCAGACAAAGACAAAGAAAAACTAATTTTTAAAAAATGAACAAAGCCTCCAAGAAATGTGGGATTATGTTAAACAGCCAAACCTAAGAATAATTGGTGTTCCTGAGGAAGAAGAGAAATCTAAAAGCTTGAAAAACTTATTTGGGGAAATAATTGAGGAGAACTCCCCTGGCCTTGCTAGATATCTAGATATCCAAATATAAGAAGCTCAAAGAACACCTGGAAAATTCATCACAAAAAAGATTATCACCTAAAGTCCTATCCCAATTCAGTTAAAGTAATAACAGGAATAGCACCTTATAAATACCTGGAAAAATAGTAGAAGGAAACATGCTTAAGCATTAATAATGATCTCTTGTGGTAGAATTCTCGGTAATTTTAATGTTATCATTTACATGTTCTCTACTTAACTATACATATATATTTATATATACATATACATAAATATACAAACATATGTATATATACACATTTTTGTTTATAGACAGCCCATGACTGTGAGCCAAGGGACATCAGAGACATGGCTCTCTGGAAACTGAAAGAACACTTAGTGGACAGTTTTTTTGTTTGTTTGTTTGTTTGTTTGTTTTTTGAGACAGAGTCTCACTCTGTCACCCAGGTTGGAGTGCAGTGGTGCGATCTCAGCTCACTGCAAGCTCCGCCTCCCAGGTTCAAGCCATTCTCCTGCCTCAGCCTCCAGAGTAGCTGGGACTACAGGCACCTGCCACCATGCCCAGCTAATTTTTTTGTATTTTTAGTAGAGACAGGGTTTCACCATGTTAGCCAGGATGGTCTCCATCTCCTGACCTCGTGATCCACCTGTCTCGGTTTCCCAAAGTGCTGGGATTATAGACGTGAGCCACCGTGCCCGGCCTTAGTGGACAGTTATTATCAGGATGATCAGCATCCATTTTTCCATCACCTGGCAACAACAACTAGCATTTCTCAAGGGAAATCCCCTCCTCATTCATAAGCAGCATGGATGGAGTGGAACAGTCCCTACCTCTGCTTAAGGAGGGCTAAATAACCAAAGCATAAAGCACTACACTTCAGTGGACGCAATGATGACTAATTTTGGTTCAATAAATATCAAGTCCAGAACTTGTGTGCAGAACTGTGGAATACAAAAGTTACCTTTGTCACAGAATATTTATATTTAAAGAGGGGATTCTAAATATTCCAACAATATGAATCCAAGATAGTGGTAAGATAGGAATGGGTTGCCTTTTGGAGTACTTGTTGGGTGTGTGCAACTCTGCATACTGGTAAGGCAAGTCCAGCCTCCATCTCACACCAACGAGCAGATTTCCCCACCATGGCCCTTACCATCTTGTGCTCTAACCACAGATTTTCAGTCTACTCTTGCTAACCATCAACTCTTCAACGGCAAGAGTCATGTCTTTCATATCCCTGGATCTGGCTTGCTAAATAATTATTCATGATTTTATCTGAGTAGAAAAAGAGCCAAGAACTGAGAAAAGGAGACATTCTTGGTTCTTCTCAGTCACTGAGGAGCTTCTGTGGTACCAGCCTTTCTGCTAGCTGCAGCCACAACTTCAACAGTTCCACCTCCTTGTTCTTTATTCTGGCTTTCACCTTGTTACTCAGCAGCAGGGGTGTAAATGTGGTGACAGTGCCGTGTCGACTTAAACCAAACGAGAGAATTTTAATAAATCACCCTTATAATGACACCCATCAAAACCAGAAGGGGACAAGCCTAGGAGGTCTCCCCATCACTGTGTCGGGGCCCAGAAGGCCATTGCCTGACCTGGACTTTCTTGCTTCTTCCCTACCAGCTGGAGAGAAAGGCCAAGCGGACCACAGCTGTACAGCCCCTCAGGTTACCTAGCAGGAGGTACCCATCCCTCCTTCATCCCCCTCCAGCATTTTGTTTCTGAAAGGAGTCAACACCAACAGCTCTGACCCGGGCAG